CAGGGGCAGGTGGTCTCCCCCTGAACCCGGTAGGGGGGAATCCCCTCACCCTTGGATTTAATGGGATCTCCCCTCAATACCCAGGGGAGAGGGGTCTCCTTCCTAACCCTGTAGCGCAGCCGGCTCACTCCTGGGTAGGACTTTCCTGCGTGCCCCTTGGCACCCAGGGGAGAGGGGTCTCCCCCCTGTAGTGGGTAGCTGGCTCACCCCTGGTGGTGATGGTCTCTGGCATCCCTCAGCACCCAGGGCAGAGGGGTCTCTGGTACTGCGGAGCCTGCTCACCCCTGGATGTGACGTTCCCGGGCGCCCCTTGGCACCCTGGGAAGAGGGGTCTCTCCCAGGTAGTTGGGAGCCCGCTCACCACTTCGTGTGATTGTCCCAGGCCCCCTTTGGAACTCAGGAGACAGGGGTCTCCCCCCCCCCCCGGGACTGGGGAGCCTGCTCACCCCTTTGTGTGAAGGTCCCGGGCGCCTCTAGGCACCCTGGGGAGTAGGGTCTCCCCTCCCCCCGTAGTGGGGAGCCCGCTCATTCCTGGGTGCGATGGTCCTGGGAGCCCCTCACACTCAGGGGAGAAGAATCTCCCTCTGTAGTAGGGAGCCTGCTCATCCCTGGGTGCGATGGTCCCAGGCGCCCCTGGACACCCAGGGGAAAGGGGTCTCTCCCCTCTATGAGGGAGTCCCCTCAGCCCTAGCAGGCAAAGTCCCCTCACAACCTTGGGGACAGGAGTCTCCCCCTCTAGGGGGCAGTTCCCTGTCTACCCAGGGGACAGGAATATTTCCTTCTAGGGGTGAGTCACCTTGCCACCCAGGGGAGAGGGGTCTCCCCTCTAGGGGGGAACCCCTCTCTTCCAGGCTCAATGTGTCCAGGTGAGAGATGGCTCCCCCTCTAGTGGGAGTACCATCACCCTTAGGGGCAATTGGTCTGAGCACCCCTTGCCACCCAGGGGTGATGGTTCTTCCTCTCTAGGGGGTAGTCCCCTTGCCCCTAAAGGTGATAGGTCCGAGTGCCCCTCGACATCCAGGGGAAAGGGGTCTCCCCCTCTAGGGGGGCATCTCCTCACCCCTAGGGGCAATGGGTCCGAGTGCTGCTTGTCTTGCAGGGGAGACGGGTTTGGGGGGAGTCCTCTCACCCCTAGGGGCGATGAGTCTGAGTGCACCTCACCACCTATGGCAGAGGGTCGCCCCCCTCTTCTCAAGGGAAAAGAGGAGTGTCCCTCGACACCCAGAGGCAGAGGGGGCTTCAGAGGGTGAGGCCCTCCTCTCCTTGAAGGCCAAGGAGGGGCCCCCACGCCCCTGGCCACAGCAAGGGGAGCCTTAGCCCTCCCCTTCATGGGAGAATTGAGGGCCCCCTTTCCTCGAGGGCCTACAAGGGGCCTCCTGGAGGGCCAACGAGGGGCCCTGGTGCCCCTAGCTACCCGGTGGGAGGGAGCCCCTCCTCCTCTAGGTTGAGGCCCCCCTCTCCTCAAGGGGCGACGGCCCCCGACCCCTCTAGCACCACCMGGAGGGATGTGCCCCCCCCCCTTGAGGCTAGGCCTGTCTCCTCTGGGGGTGATCCTGTGTCTGCCGCAGCATGTGAATTCTGTGTCCACCTCTGTGCTGACTACAGGGGCGTGTGGTGGCGGGGTCTGGGTGTAAGTGGAGACCAAGCAAATGCTTTTCTTATTTAACACAGCAGTGGAGGCAGGCTGCCATCATGTCTTATCCCATACTCCGGAAAACTGGTTCCCCTGGGTATGGTGCACTCCCTGAGCCACATGGCCCTGTGCAACACAGGTGCTTTATATGTTCTTTGTTGCCTCAAAACCCAGGTTGTTGGACCATTTCCACCCTCTCTGAAGCGGGTTGGTGGGGAAGCCCATCTTACCTGAGGAGATGTGGCATACGACGAAACCTCGATTCACCCCACACTTGGCCCACAGATGTCAAACAGGTCCCCAGGGAATTGTAGCCTCCTTGCTTCTCAAGCCCTGATGAGCCCTGTGTCCTCTGGAAATCCCACCTGGTGCAGGTTCTGATGCGTAGTGGGGCTYGGGGACACTCAAAGTCTGTGCTCTAACAATTCCCAGCTCATGTGATGCTCTGGCCCTCAGATCCCATTTTGGAAAGCAAGGTGGAGGGAAGTAGATGGTCTCGGCTGTGCCTGTGGCAACCGTCTCCCAGAGCAGACCTGCATGCCCTGCCATCCCCACCTCTGGACAGGTGTCCCCCTCTCCCTTCAGAGAACGACTGCTGCCTCATCTCAGAGTAGACTTCCACAGAGCAGCAGAAGGCAGACTCTGCCTACCAGACACACTCATACTCTCAACCGGCTGCTGCAGGCACACCCTGCCTGTCCACAGAGAGAAGGGAGTGACCTTGAACTTGACACTCTGTGACACTCTGACCGAGCATGCTACCATCACTAAAATCACTCTGTTCTAGAAAAATGAACTAGAGATGGAAAAGGAACATGGAAAAGTAAGACTACGTCCTGACCCTAAGCTAAGATCACTCTCTGCCCTGGAATTCTCTCTCTTGCACTTGAAGGGTTACGTGCCAGGATGTACAACCATGGCCGGGTGACTAACTCGTGTACCTTACATGTCCTTTTTATGAGATCCATCTGGAGTTTAATCATATGTTGCTATCACTGGGTCTTTGTAGATGAAGAATTGTGATGCCTGGTCAGGGACAGGCTATTGACCATTTGTCTGCTGCCCCCACTGAATCTCCTCCATGGCCCTGGTCTTCCATAAGTTGCTCAGATCAGAGCTGTCTTCAACCCCTRGGTTGACGCTGTGGGTTTAACCAGTGGAGGGTGGAGCTCCATGTCACTTACTTTCACTTTTGCAGCYGTTGGGTGACACATGTTGGCTGTGACCGTGCGTGTGGCTGCTGTGTGGGATGGAATCCATAGTCCTCCCTCTCTTCTACCATCACAAATGACCCAGGTGTGTCCCCATAGAATGTGTATGTAGCTGGGGAATATTTTGGGTTTTTTTGGTATAAAATCACACGCATTTATTACCGTTTCTGTGGTTTAAGAATCTAGGAACATCTTAGCTGCTCCATAGCCTGAGAATATTTTGAGATAATAATGTATTTTTAGTATTTCTTCCCAGGATTTTGCCTTTTCCCTTCCCTGGGTCAAGTAGTGTTTGGGGCCTGTGCTCGTGGGCCCTGTAGACTGCTGAGGCAGAGCAGAAGCCCCAAGAGGACCCACACTGAAGAAGGCTGCAAAGGTCCCTCAGGTGCCACCTTCCTGCTTGTTTTCCCCAGGAATATTTGAARTCTGCCTATGGTTTATTTTAGGGCTGAAAACCTCAGTATAGGAGAGTGAAAAAGAGGGCCCTGGACCTTGCTCCCACAAGTTCACTAATTGCCTACTATGTGCCAGGCCCCTGCTAGGCACCAGGGTTGCAGACTTGAATTAGCTACTGTCCCACCACAGACTGCATAGGAATCCAAGGACAGAGGCTGTCAGGTGCTAGTGCAGGCAATGCCAAGTTGCTACCTCCCAGGAAGAAGTTTTCGGAGTCCAATGACCAACCATGGAGAAGAAGGATTTGATCTGGGAGATTCTCATCTTTACCCTTTTTTCTTGTCTCTTCCTTCCAAGTTCTCTTCCACATAACAAGCTATTTTCTCTAATAAAATAGCTTGGATTTGAAAAATAGATTTTTATGTGAAAACTTATCGAAGGCTTGTTTCACTCCTTCATCGATAGAATTAAAAGAACAGATGTGGTGTGGACCACAATTCCTTTTTATCCCACCCCTCTTAAATTCTGAACCAGTGAAAACCTCCAACRAAGGAATGTATGCCTCTTTCCCATGTTCCTCGTCCTCACAAAGAACTCAGGTGACTTCAGGTGACTGGTCCTGATGCTCTCAGGTCTCTGCACCCCCAGAGACTGATCACACTTAGGATCTGGCCTGGGCCTGCTCGTGGGCCATAGCTGTGAACTCCTGACAGGGTGATGGGGCTCAGATCCMCACCCTGATCCTCACCCTCAATGCCTGCCACGTCGACCCTTCATTAGGTGGTTGCTTCTCAGCATCCCCCAGTGACCTTTAAAAAGTAAGTAACTGACCAAACAGACTTCACACTCAGGGTTCAGGTGCAGCAGGGCTGGATGGGCCCAGGAATCTGTAACTGTGATCAGCGGCCACATTGGAGAACCAGTGGTCTAACTGAGGACTCAGTSAATTGAAGTGTGTGTGTGTGTGTGTGTGTGTGTAGCTTCCCCAGTGAGATTGTAAGGGCCTTGCTGCCTGATTATCTTCCTTCTGCCTATTGGATTTCAAGTGCCAGGTGTGATCTGTGATCTCACAGAGGTCATCTTATAGTGTCATGGTGAGGGCAAGATCAGAGATGTGCTCTGTGTGGCTTCAGTGCGTAGTGCCGTGGTGGCCAGCTCACAGGAGATTTTTAATTGCTCTGTTGATGACCAGAGTTTGGGTTTGGGCATGCCTAACMGACTAGGGCAGCCTGTGGGCTTGACAGGTACAGAAGTGAGATGCTCTGGCTCATGACCCCTTCCCAGGCTCTTCTGCCTGTTCACACCAGGTTGGCAACACTGCAAGTCTTAGTTTCATCCTTGACTTCACAATTTCTGGAGTGATGGTCCTTTCACAGGTGAGGAAACTGAAACTTAGAAAAACCACATTTCCACTTTATCCCTAGGCTGTATGTGGTGGATTTGAGGTTTGAACCCAAGTCAACAGAACKCATTGGACTACATATTAGTGCCTGATTTGTAAAACCAAAGTTAATGTCTTCATATAACACAGTGTTAATCCRACCTGTTATCTTAACCCTGGGTAACAGCCTGCAAAATTATCATCCCATCAATTTTTTAAAACATTTTTTGGTTTGGTCAGAGAAAGCGTTTGTGTAAAAGGTGAGAAGAAGGCATTATTCATTCAGCCTTTTACACCTCCTTTTAAAAACACACACCACCTTTATTATATTACCTTTGAATTTTGATTTTAATTTAATACACATAAGGAAACCCTAGCAAATAACAGGCTCAAAAGACTCAAACAACTCAGCAAAAAAGGCATCAAATAAAAATTATGTATGGTACATCAATCATTCTTATTTCTCCCATAAATCTTGAAAACAAAAAATCAGCTCTTTGTATTTCATTTGCTTTCCTCCTTTGAATTAAGGAAAGCTTCCAAAGATACATTGTATGTACAGAGAGGGCACATGGCGAACACCGCCTTGGCACCTTTTACACTCTTCAGGAAAGAATCTGCAAAATTGGCTTTGATCCCTGTTCTTAAATTTAAGAGGAGCTCATTTGCAAGACTTATAAATAGAATTTGTTAAGTGACCAAACCATTTTTTTAATTTGAAAATAACAAACTTCTACCTTGAACTGAGCTGGCTGGAAAGGGGAGGGGGTCACCCTGCCCTGCCACCCCCAGGCTTTGGTGGAGGAAGCAGAGGGGCATGAGCAACGCAGGGAAGAGGAGGCTAACGGAGGATTGTCCACATGCTGCAGGGCAGGCAGTGCCCTCAGGTCTGCTAAACTGGTCCATCTCCCTAGAGGGCAGAAAAGGTGAATCTGTTATGATGTCCTCTTAAAATTCTTCCCTCCCTCTTCCTCTCCCCTCCATCCCTCCACCCCTCTCCCCTCCACCCCTCCACCCCTCTCCTGACGGGTCACTCCTGTCCTTCTTGGTGCCTAGTGAATGTTTCCTGGACTTTCCTTTGTCTCAGAGCTTCAATTTGTGACTTACCTGGGTTTGGATTATAGGAATGGAAAATCCATTTTATTTTGCATCATTCGGCATAATTTTGTAGAAAACACTGAGAAAAGTGCTGTGTTGGACACCACAGGGCTACATGGGAGTGCTGGGATTTGAACCCAGGAGGTGGAACCCCGAAGCTACTTTCCCTTCCTGGAAGCTCAGCTGCCTTCCTGCCACTGACTGAGGCTTCTGCATAGTGATCAGCCYGTGGGAGGCATGGAGCAGCCTGAGGAGCTAGGTGTCAGTGTCCATGTTTTACAGACAAACAGAGGGCAACTGATGTGGCTAAGAACGTGCAGCTGGCATCCCATCAGGTCTCAGAGCCTGCRTTTTAAGGCTGGTGCCCATCCATCGCCATGTTGAGGACTTGGCTAGACTCCGGAAGCTCTGGCTAGGTCCTTTCTGCCCTGCTGGATGGAGGTGGATGAGCACACCTCCCTGAGTTAGGCAACAGGCAACTGGGGTAACTGAGACCCTGAGAAATCAGTCGGATTGCTTCGGCCACTCCATTGGTAAGTGTGTCATGGGGCCAGAGCAGAACTTTACACTCTATTCCCCTGGGGTGGGAAGCTGGCACTTGGCGAGATGCAGACAGAAATCCTCAACAGATGGAATTTTAAACTCTGTGGCCCTTGTGCACTGAAATGCTTAGTGCTGAAGTTTCGMAATGCCTTCAAATTACTTTCCAAGAGGTCAGAAAGGCAGAGGGGGAGCAAATGCCAGCCACATAGGGTAGAAGTGGGGTGCCCAGATGTGCCCTGTGCTGGGGATTGAGGGGTCTCCATTACTGAGCCACATCCTCAGCCCTTTTTGTGATGAGACAAGGTCTTGCAAGATTGCTGAGGCCAGCCTCGAACTTGTGATCTCCTGCCTCAGCCTCACAAGTAGCTGGGATTACAGATGTCATTACCCTGCCTGGCTGTTCCTTCGACTTTTATGTAGACTACAAAGTGAAAGGTGGGAGTAGGGGAAGAGTGAGAAAAGGAAGGAAGCAAAGAAGGCAATTCTGAAAGTGTGCTTTCTCTTGGTGACTCTGCAGTGTCCCTGCATTGACAGCCACAGAGCCATATCCTGTCTTTCACCTATCAGGTAATCAGTAGTTGTGGTCAACAGAACATGGTGCCTGAACCTCACTGAAGAGAGCCAATGTACCAGCACCTGGGGATATGTTTTTAAGGCAACAGGAAATCCTTAGATTTATAAAGTCCTACCATCCACTCAAAGAGAAATCATATTTTGGATAAATCTTCCAAAGAAAATTTCCTGCCTGGCTAAACGATGACTGTTAGCTGATTCTGCAAGCATTGATTCATTTTTTGATAAATTATAATATTTAAATATTCCATATCCCTACTTGCTGTCATAAAAATACTAGTGACGGTTGCCAGATAATAATTCCCCCATTCCCAATTATGTTTGAAGATTAAAAAAAATTGAATACAACAAAATAGAATTGAAATTTTATAGAATAGTCAGTGAAATCTATTTGTGATACAAATTCATGATGTGATACAAATCACATCAGAAGACAGGTCATGCCCTGGTGGGTACTATGCATTTCACTTTGGTTTCGGAGACTATATTTTCTATATTCTAAGAGCAATATGTGATCATTTAAATTTTTTGAATATTATAGGCTAGGGGGAAGAAACAAAATCCATCTTCAAACCCAGAAGGAGCTAGGACTTAACATTTTGATGATTATTTCTTCTCGAGGCATTTTTCCTTTTGTCTATCATCCATGGTTTTCTTTTCTTATTTTTTGAAATGGTATTCTAGGTACAATTTTTGTATCCTGCTTTGCTCAAATGACACTACCTTATTAGCATTTTCAGTATTATTAAAATTTTGGGGAAAAGATTCGTTTATGTTGTGGAAATTAAAAAATAAATAAAGACACGAGGAGAATATAAGAAATTATGTAGGCTTATGTGATGGAAAGACTGGAGGTGACTGGGTGGACAGAAGACAGGTGCCGGGAGGAACACTTTCCCACTGAGTATATTTATATATTTCTGTAAATTGTCTGTATGTATATATGCATATTTAATTTTGAACTCTGTGCATATGATGCTTAGTAAAATGTAAATAAAGTGATTTGAATAATTTAAGGCCTTAGCCTATTATATAATTCTCCAGTGAGGGAGCTCATGAGTTCTATATTTTTTTCTCATGCATTGATCTGCGTGCTTTTGAATACATTTGTGCATGTGTGTGTGTGAGTGAATAATTGCCTGATATGACTTGGTCCCTAGTTCAAACAATCAGACTATCTTAATGTCCACAAGCTTATTTTGATATTTTGTGGTTGAAATTTTATGAGAATGTTTAGAGACTAAATCTTGAGAGATTTCCACTTTTTTTTTTCCTTTTTCTATGGGAATGGCTTCTCTTTTCTATACCAGAAATCACATCAGAAGACAGGTCGTGCCCTAGTGGGTACTATGCATCTGAGGACCTAAAGAAGTCTTGGGCCAGACCATGAAGGACCACAGCTGACACTGTGCCCACAGGACAAGGACTCGTCCCCTGTGGGCCCTCACGTGAACATCTCTGTGAAGTTTACAGGTGGATGGGGTCCTTGGTCTCTAGGCCAACTGGAGACAAGGCTGAAAGCTGTAGTCACTGTGCATCTGGGCATGTCAACTCAGAGTCCCTACCACCCCTGCGTTCCACAGCTGGCAGTGGAGCCTGGACTTCCCTGTGGACCCCACACTGACCATCCCTCATCCTGATGGTGCTGGTGCCTGGCTGGGTCCCCTGCAAGCAGGGAAGTGGTGCTAGAGACTGGGACTTACCCCACCGCAGCAGTGACAGTCTCCACAGAGTGTCCCCAGGAGGCCGTTGATCGCCTGGATAGCACAGAGAATCATCTGGATTCCTCCAACCACCAGCAGGATGGAGAAGAGGGTCAGATTCCAGGAGACCACATTGTCAGGCTCTAGGCACTTGCTCCACAGGGCCTGGTCACTGAGATAATCCCTGCAGGTGACGGGGTGGGGAAGGTGGAAGGAGACATTCGTTAAATACAGAGTCATCCCCTAGACTGGGAGGTCTACATAAAGATTTTTCTTGTGCAGTACTTCCCGTCTGGAGCTGGGGGGGGGGGTGGCTTGGTGGCAGAGCACTTACCTGGCATGTACCAGGCCATAGGTTCCAGCCCAGCACCACAAAAACAAGACAAGACAAAACCTTTCCATCCAAAACAAGTTCCATGAGAAAMATACACAAATAAATTAATGAAACAACCCCAAACACACACATTGAGTACATCCTATGTGCCAGATCGTGTTCTAAATGTTTTGCACATATTCTCTCATTTATTCCTCACAGAAACCTATGATTCTTTCCTTCCAGACCCCAAATAAGGAAACTGAGGCACAGAGAGTTTAAGTGGCTTATCYCAGGTCACACAGCTACTAAGCAGCWRAGCAATATTTGTGACAGGGCRGAAAAACARAAAATCACGTCAKAGTTAGAATTGCACAAATGACAGCCTTTTTWAGCAGTACCATCATTCGAGACATTTTGACTTTTGACAAATTATCTGTTAAACTCAGCGGAGATCTAAAACCATGTAAAATACAAATGTCATATCAACTAAAGGGAAGAGTCTGATTTTGGCCAAATTGTGAATTTGACTCAACATGTAGGAATTCCATGTGAAAAAATGCTTAATTATCTTTAAAATTTAGAAGTAATCTACTACCTTAATACATATAATTTGCATAAACTTTGAATTAGAGAAACTGCTGTATATACATATACTGCAATTTCTCATATTCACATCTGTATTGTGTGACTGTGTCTGTGTGTGTGTGTGTGTGTGTGTGTGTGTGTGTGTAGAGCGGGGGGTGGGGGCCAGTTCATTGTCATACGCAGGGCCTTGTGTCTTGCAGAGGAGAGTTGAATCTGCTCTGCTCCCCAGAAGACAAGAAAGAGCAAAGTGGGCAGATGCTTTTGGATTATTAAGATTCTGTCTCACATTCCTAGAGCCACAGATCCACCCCTCTCCTTCCTATTTCCTCCACCCTCTGGACCATTGTGAGAAACTCTCTAGCTACCAAGTTAGCACTCATCTTATTGTTCCAGATCTTTATTGTTATTGTTCTTGTTATTGGTTTTGGGGGTTGAACCCAGGGGCTCTCTCCCACTGAGCTCATGCTCAAGAGCTTTTTATTTTGAATTTTGGACAGGTTCTCCCTAAGCTTCCGAGGATGGACTTGACCTTKCTGTCCTCCCCTGGCCTCAGTCTCTGGAGTGGCTGGGATTACAGGTGCCACTGTGCCCAGCTATCTAGATCTTCATGATGACCTCTGTGTCCTAGAAATTCTCAGGTGCACCAGTACACATTTATTTAATACATTATGATTTTAGAAACTCTTACAAATGATGGGAAATGTCCTGGGGTTGAACAAAGGTGAAGAAATGAAGGAACGAGTGCTTCACTCTTGATTCAGAAGCAAAGCTGTTTATACCCTTGACACAGTTTCCCTAAGTAGCCTGTTCTAGTGGGATACCTGCCGTGGGGCCTCATCCCTACCTGTAAAACGGGAGCCACTTAGTCTACCACGTCTTAGTGTCACTGTATTACATGAGCTAATATGCATTCTCAGAACATGCACAGAGTAAGTGCTTGCTGAATACCTGTATTGTCATGTTCTCACTTGAACCAYACAGTCTAATGAAAAGAGCCTGCATTTTGGAAATTTGCTGTTTTACATCAAACATCCATCTTTCTGTTTCACTTGTTCTTACACRCAATCCTTGCTATCTTTACAATTTTGAGTTTGATGATTATAAAAGTTGGTAAAGATAGGGTATTTTTCAGACACACTGATTTATAGAAAGAAAACAGACTTAGAGGCAGTTTGTCCAGAGATGGGGCGACAGCGCCGCCTGGTGATGGGATTGGTAAAATACTCTGGGAATGAGGAAACTAGGAATAATCTGGATGCCTGGAGAATCCAGTTGCACTCCAGCTGCTCCCAAATGGCCCCTGGTAGCCATCTTCAGGCCCTTCTCCACTCACAACTCTCAAATCTGAGGGTGTAGGAGACCCTGATCAAAGAAGGCTATAGGCACGCACAGTGTGCTCCCAAGCCCAGGGTGGGAGGGGTCCTGGGTTCTTTGTGGACCTGGTAGTTGACATGTTTCTACTTTCTGTGAGGCAGGGAGAGCTGAGGCAGTGTCAATCCACCTAACTGGTGGTTTTCTTTTTTGTTTTGTTTTGTTTTTTGCTTTTGGTACCAGGGATTGAATCAGGGGCACTTAACCATTGAGCCACATCCCAGGCCTATTTGTTTGTTTGTTTCGAGACAAGGTTTTCAAAGTTGCTTAGGGTCTCACTAAATTGCTGAAGCTGGCTTTGAATTTGCAATCCTCCTGCCTCAGTCTCCTGTGACTCAATGTCAATCCTTTCAGGGATTACAGGGGTGCACCATYATGCCCAGTTTACTTGGTATTTTAAAGCACCTGGTTATCACGAGGGGCATTCCCACCTGAACCACAATAATCCCACCAATTTGGGAGCAGAAAGCTATGGTTTACACAAGTCTCTTTGCTCTAGGACTAGAAACCCACAAGGGCAGAGACCATGTCCCCGCAACTCTGTCCCCAGGTCCAGCACAGTGAATGTTCAATACACAGCAGCCCTCGTTCACTGGGTCTTGACCAGGGACTGAGCACTGGGCCATTTGCTTTATATCAGCCTTCCTAACACTACAAAGATGGGCTTCTGGAAAAGTGCCTGGCAAAGAGCAGCCCTCAGTAAATATTTCCTGAGTGAATGGATGTATATCCATTTCGCAAATTAAGAAGTTGAAACTTGTAACTGGAAGTAGCTGGATTTGATCTGAGGTCTAATTTCAAAGCCAGTGCCCTTATACAAATTGTACTCAAGTAGTTATATCCCTTTAGAACATTTGAAATATGATTTCTTTATGAACTTCTCTTTATGCTATCTGTAATAATATGCCAACCAAGGTTTACTGTGTCATCGTAGAGATGAGTCTCTTTGAACCTTCCTGTGTCTGGCTGAAAGGATTGACACTGAGTCACAAAATCATTAGAAAAGTGTAACACTTTAGAAAGTTCTAATGCACATGAATGAATTCCGTTCCAAAAATTCATAAAAATGAAGAACATCGTGGAATGTCAAAAATGCAGTGGGCATTGTGCTTTACGTGCATCTTGCTGTTTTATTTCCACCTGAAGCTGTGAGGCAGATGTTGCTGCCACCTCTAACTCCCCMCTGAGGAGTCTGAGTTTGCAGGGCCCGAGATCCCACTGCTGGTGCACGGAAGAGTTGGGCCTGGCTTTTAAGTTGGCTTGGGGCAAAACAGGCTGCTAACATCTGTGATGCTCTTTCTGCTGTGTGAACACTGCGTGTGCTTGCAATGCAATCGCACCCTACCCAGGAGACTTTCAGCCTCAGGAAATGTCTTCTTCAACAGTTTATGGGGCTTCTTGCTAATAAGTCATCTTAAAGAGCAAATGCAGATGGTCCTGGCTGGGAGTCCAGGTGAAGGGTTTAATTATTTTCAGTTCTGGACTCAGCTGCTTGTGGCTTCTCAGGGGTCAGCTCTTGCCCAGGGAATGGGAGGTGCCCTGCTCAGTGGCTGCTCCCCTCCCCCACAACTGAACTTCCTTGGCTTCCCAACCTTGGCTGACCCAATATGCTGGGCAAGGTGCTGCCCTTCCAGCAGCTCTGGATCAGGGGTGGGGTGGCCACTGTCTCAGTACAGAAGCCTTTGGGTAGGAGGAGGCTCGACTCCAGAGGAAATGAATAGCTTGCCTCAAAATACCCCAGGTTTCTTTTTCCTTCCAGAATGCTTCTTTTAAATTTTTCTTTTTCTTTTTGCAAGGGGTTGAACCCAAGGATGCTCTACCATTGAGCTTCATCCAACCCTTTTTGTTTTTTATTTGGAGACAGGCAGGGGGTCTCACTGARTTGCTTAGGGCCTCACTAAGTTGCTGAAATTAGCTTTGAACTTGCGATCCTCCTGCCTCAGCCTCCCGAGTTGCTAGGGTTGACTGTACCTGGTCTAGAATGCTTCTTAATATGGTTCTCATGATGGATAAAGTTAATTAACTCTGCTTCTTTAATATTTTCACCAACACTCATTTCTGAGGAAAACAGTGCTAAATTCTATGGCATTAAAGAGCTCTGTATTTCACGCCCAAGATGGAAATCTCAGCATTTGCCTAGATAACCTTTCCCCTTCCTCACACCTAATGCTGGGCAAGCCCATCTCTGACAGTCTCTGAAATTTGCCCCAATTCTGTAGCCTTGGAGAAGCTCAGAACCTCACCTGGATCATCACTTCGGCCCCCGCCCCTCTCCCCCTCCTCAGTGACAGAGCTCTTCCATTCATTCTCCACATCAACCGTCACCAATGTCATTATTCCAAACTCCCAAGTGGCCGCCTCACATCCTTCTTGACGTTCTCTGCTCTCCTCTGACATCCCCAAGTTGTAGCCTGCCTCAGTCAATGGTGCCCCTTCTGTTCCTCCCCCCACATTGCCCTGAGCTTCAGGTCACAGCATCCTGACATCTGATCCCCTGAGCCCCGAGGCCCACGTCTGCCTCCCCTCCCTGTGGGGAAGGCGAACTCGGGCTCATCCTCCCAAGCCAGCCATGTCCCCTCCTCAGGGTTCCACTACTTTCCACATTGACAATCTCTGTCCCCTGTTGCCCCTGCAACTAACCATGKGCTCCTGGAACTGCACCTCATCTGTCCTTCCTCACTCCATGTTCTGATGGGCTTCGGCACTAAATCAGGTACTGATGCTGTGCAGTTAAAACATTTCTTCTCCTGGTTCCCAGCTGAGGGACCCTGGGGGGGATTAGCCTCTTTGAACTTCATTTTTTCCTCCAGGGTAAGAATTCTCAGGTTTGACAGGAAGATTGAGATAAGGCACCCATGCTTGGCAATTATCATTGGGAAGAAAAGAAGGAGGAGGAGGAAGAGGGGAAGAAAAAAATAAAAGAAGAAGGAGGAGGAGGAGAGAAGGAGAAGGAGAAGGAGGAGGGGGAAGGAGGAAGAGGGGGAAGGAGGAGGAGGAGGAGGAGAGGGAGAGGAAGAGTAAGGAGAACAAGAGGAGCAGTCACCCTGCATCATACTGCACGGCGGTCTGGTGGTGGGAGGGGTGACAGCTGTCTGGAGTCTGTCCTTCTGCTCACAGTGGTTTAACCATGTGTAACCATGGCTGTGATGCCCCTGTGCTGGGGATCTGATGGGGACACGAGTCTAGTCAGGAAAAGTGAAGCCAGAGCACRTGAGCGTTGCCAGAGGGAATCTCAGCAAAGAGCAGAAAGCATGATCAGCATGAGTTGTGTTTTAGAAAAAAGCCAGGTGACTCCGGCCGAGAAAATCAGAAGTCCAGCTGCAATCATTTAGAAACCATATTCCCTCAAGCAGGTCACCAGGCCTCAGCTATCTTCCTCTGAGAGAAAGCTACAAATCTCATTGGATGAGGATCAAATGACACATTGTGAGTGACTCGATTTTGCTACCSAAACACCAGCAAGCAATAGAGGATWAATTCYTGTGATAAGAAGCTCCTCATGAGTCAYAGGGAAGACCTGGAACCAGCTGTGCCATCATACCAAAAAGGAATGTGTATCCAGGTCTCTGAAGAGAGGAAACAGGAGGCCAGGATGAAATGAGGTGCTGTAGGTGGCAGAGGGGTGTAGGCAGACACCATCTGCCTGGCTCCTACCCTGCAAAGAGCCTTCCTGTGGCCATAGTGGCACATGTCACATGTTAAACAGATTGTTCAATTCTAGGCAGTCTGGGTGTTGGTGAAAGCCTCTGAGCCCAGTTGGTGAGAAATCCTTCTTGTTTTCTATGGTAAGGTCTGCAACGGAAATCGCTASAGGGTATTGATATTATTGATTGCCTTGTGGTAATGCTAGTTCACATCTGGGAGCAAGTAGTGATACCATAAATCTCYTCCCCTCGGGCCATCTGAGGTGACCTCTTTCAGTTATCTTTCCCTGTGTCTGTCAGAGGGGAGACCCGGTGCAGCCTCTCCCTGTACCACAGTGTCATTGYCTGACACCTGGGTAACAAGGACGATGTGGTTTGGTGAGCTGTCTCTCTCTGTTGGTGGTCCACCTCCCCAGCCCTTGAACTGACCTGTGGGCATTGCCAGGTGAGCCTTACCCGTTGTGGAAGGGGTAGCCCCACGTGTTATTGGACATGAGACAGTTAGGACCCTTGTTGATCGAGATGGCTGAGATGACAAACGAGTAGCCAGCACCCAAGAATCCAATCACAGCAAATATGGTMGAGGTGAACATCTGGAAGAGAAGAAGAGACACAGTCAAGCTCTCGTAGGTACAGAGAATGATGCGCAGCAAACCCACCCCACCTGTTGAGCGTGGTGACCCAGGAAAGCTACGGCTTCTTTGTTCTTCCAAATAGTTTTATATGTCAAAGATTAATTAGTCTAGATTGCATTAGCKTCTTTTCTTTTTCAGTGATAAAAATCCAAATAAAACTTCAGTATTTGAGCAGCCCAAGCAATCCTGGAGCCCATTCAAGCTAATTCCCACTTAAAGATGAAAAACCCAGGCCTGGAAACATTAAGAGTGTTTGCAATCCATTCTACATGGTAGTTAGCAGCAATATGGAAACATGCACGATTTTGGAAATGAAGAAAGAAAATGATCACTTCTATTGCTTTAGAAACAAAACACAAGGGTTTGAACATCAGGAGAGTGAGGCTCAAATCTTAGCCTTGCTATTTTCTGTTGTGTGAAGACTATGAAGGTATCCTCAGAGTCCTGCTTTCTCATCTGTAAAATGGGCATGTTAGAACCAACCATAAAGCTCTACTGTGAACRTTAGTTGTAGGAACCTGAGTTAAATGCCAGCCCCATCCCTTCCCCCATCCTTTTATTATTAATATTGGTGTTATAGTATATGTTTGGGGGCCTAGGGCATGTAGGGGTGGAGAGAAACTGTGCCTGGGCAATTGGAATTTCATAGTAACAGAACTCATACTTCAGCTACTGTTGGTTCCATTTGAATGCATTTGATGGGGAGGTAACAGGGACTGAACTCAGGGGCACTTGACCACTAAACCACATCCCCAGCTCTATTCTGTATTTTATTTAGAGACAAGGTTTCACTGGGTTACATAGTGCCTCTCCTTTGCTGAGGCTGGTTTTGARCTCGAAATCCTCCTGCATCAGCTTCCCCTGCTCTGTGGATTACAGGCATGTGCCACCTTGCCTGGCTTATGCATGCGTTTTGGATGCAATTTGGCAAGCCCGAAATCTGGCCTTGCCTGCCTTATGACAAAACTTCAAAGGGCAGCTTCAGACATGGATGGAAAAACGGTGTCCAAACTTAAATGAAAGGAAGAAGTGATGTTYGAAATTCTTGATGGTCCCAAGAGTATTTTTAGTATTAGCAAAAGTTGATGTCAGAGAAACGTGAAAGCACTTAAAAATAACTGAGTTATTTTTAAAACATCAGAGTTCAAGAGTGGCATATTAAAATTGTTTTATATTTTATAAGCAGGTGACTTAAAATACATGTCTGTGGCTGAAAGTTTATATATGAATGTTGGTAAACAGCTTTTGAAAACTTCTCTGTGGGAAGTCTCTTTATGGGAAAATAAGGGATGGTTTTATATTCAGTTTTGCCTTCTACGACRGTATTTTTGGTAATTTGCAGAGTTCTCCAGTCTCATCTGAGTCTTGGAAGCTTCTCTGTGARTCCCTGCAAGAACACACTTTGAGAAATGTGGTTCCTAGTGAGAGCTCATCTGGTTGGGTTTCTGTCTCTGATTCACCTCCTGCTCCAACCAAATTGCTCTTCAGTAAGATCACGGCTGGTGTAACTGCAGGGAGAACCAGAATATCCCAGCAAGTGATCTTAGGCTCAGAGCAAGGGTTCAGAGGTATAGAAACAGTGCTGACATGTGGCAGGCTGGGTTGTCTTCATGACAGTTGGGTGGTCTCACAGAAAAACAGGTTCCATGAAGGAAGGGTCCCTCACTTCTTGAAACTGGCCAACAGTATTCAAAAGCCAGCATCTCTACTAAGTAGATGGTTAAATACACTTAATATTATATTTTAATAAGAGAGTTTACCTAAAAAGCCATCCAGTGCAACCATTCTATGGTCCAGCTAATAAGAGCAGCTCCGTCCCACAGCAGCCTGGTGTGCGTGACCTCAGACAGTCCTCTCACACACCTGTGAGTGGGTGTCCTCATCTACATTCTCCAGTGAGAAACTGAGACCCCAGAAACTAAGACAATGGAAAAGAGGCAGATATGGGATCAGCACATGGCCCTGGCTTCCCAAGACCACACCCCTGATTTGTGGTTTCTCAAGTCACATTTAGGAGGCATCAAGTCTGATTAAGAACACAGATCTCCCAGCCCAGGGCCCTCGACCCCCTGCCCCTTCACACACACACACACACACACACACACACACACACACATATGATACACACCACACACACACACCACACCACACATACACATACCACACCACACATTCCACACCACACACACACACAACACACACCATACCAACCACACACCCAAACACACATACCATTCACACCATGCCACATATCACATATGACACACACCTAATACAGACCACACAGACACCACACACAACACACCAAACACCATACACACACACTGCATGCATGCACAACACACATACCACATACACACGCACACACACACACACAAAGCCACTAGCTCTGGATATGCTGTTATTTGCAAGTTTCCCTGTGAATGACACTGGTGTTCTCACAGAAATAAAACAACATATTAAAAAAAAAAATACAGCCTTGTGCTAACTCGACTTCCTCATATTGGGTTCCAACTCTTGCAGAGACCAGACGCCATGAGGATGGGGGCCATAGGCACGTCTAAACTGCTGCCACGAGAGAGGACACTGTGCTCCCAGAGAGACAGCGAGGTCTCTGGGAGGCCTGTTTCAGCCCCCTCAGCTTCACCACCGTGAACAAGGAAATGGTGGGTGGATCTAGAAAGTTCCCAGAGATGGAACAGCCCAGTTCCGCCTCTGTAGCTGGTAGTGAGATGACAACTCTGACTTGGGCTCAACTGGCTACACCAAGGATTTTAGAAAATGCTTCCAAAACATGTCAGCAGGTAGGCACTGGGCGATGCAAAAGCTGAGGGAGTCCAACTAGACGGAAGGTCAGATTAACATAAAGTATCCACGAGGAGATGATTTTCCCTTTATCATAAGCACCTCCAGATCAGCACCATCCAGTGCAAACAGTGTTGACCACCTGGGTAATTTAACATTTCTAGCAACCACCATTAAACTAAAAGGAAATAGGAGAAATTAAGCTTGATGCTGTATTTTCTTTAACTCTTTATCTCTAATATATCATCATTTCAACATGCAAACAGCATAAAAATCACCAAGATAGTTTACATGCTTCTTTTTGTAGCATTTCTTTGAAATCTTGGTGTGTATTCCACTCAAACAGCATATCTCAATGGAGACCAGCCACATTCATGGTCTCAGTAGCTACAGGTGGATAATCTAGAACATTYGAGAAGTTTATTTTTAGTAGTACARAATTTAAAAATGCATGGATATGGTGCACTGAGTTCTCAAGAGGGGGAATACGCCATGGAGAGAGAAGGTGGTGACTCTCAGTTGGATTAATGTTTTATTTCTTAGAAGATGTATCAATAGTTTTCTGTTTCATAATGCTACAAGTGGTATGTTCCATTTTCAAATTCAAATTTGAAATCTCGCCTTAAAATTAGCAAAATAAACATCCCATACTGAGTTTTCATAATTTTTCCAAAATGGATGATCCATGCAAAGGAAGGTACACTATACCTCTTTTTCCTTTAGGTTATTTCACATTGGAAAATCTGAAGAAATTGCCAAATTCACTACTCATAGATATGGTCCGTCTTAACAGTAGCATGGAATAACTTCAATTTATCATGGGTTTCATGCAAAAAAAAAAAAACTAAAGAGTTATTTCAATCAAATGGAATATGTTAGGACTGACACTCTAAAATTGATACTCCTTAAAGTAGACAAAAGACCTGGGATATCTCTAGAAGGAGAGACCTCTGGGGTTGCCGAATTTGGAGTCAGAAATGGGAGCTTTCTCTACAGTTTTACAGGATAGCTCTTCCTAGTTGGACAAAAAGTGAAGATGAACATTTGCATCCTYGTCACCAKCATGGGTGACAGGYTGATGGAGCTGGTTCCTCCCTCATGAACTTGGGAAGCTAATCTTTCTTTTTCCACTTCCTCTTCTGCAAAACAAAGCTCAATAATATGTACTGCCTCACAGAGGTCATGATGTGCAAGGGGACCTGACCCATAGACAGGAGAAATCAAGGGCACACCTTTAGATACTGCTGGGGTGAGGTGGGGCGGGACTCCTAGGTGGGGCCCAGGACCTTACTGATAGAACCCAGAAATCTCCTTGGCCTGTTCCTAAAGTTTGGATAATTTCCCATGACATTAGCAAGCACTCAATTCATGTCATTATGATCGTTCTATTTTTATAGTCCAATCCTCACAACTCTCACTTCTCTATAAATACAGASAGCAAAACTCTGGGAGAAAAATAAAGGCAAGCACTCTGGTTCTCCAATGGTTGCTCAGTACACATGTTGTGCTCACACRTGAAAGAAACAGGTGTCCGGTTCATGCTGTTCTTGCCTCCGTTGAAATGGAAGAGCAGAAGTACCCTCATTCAAATTCYTTCCCATTCACCCTTGCCAACCCAGGACCTCCCATTCTGCCAGGCTCGGCATCAGATCCCAGCTCTGTCCCTGCTAGCACTGGGTCTTTGTCCATCTCTATGCTTACATTGGCCAAAACAAATGGAGGGGACAGTGAGGGCAGAGAAGGAAAGAAATGTGGGTGGTATGGAGACTTGGGCTGTGACAAGTGGTGGGGAAACATGTCTGGTGAGCATGGGTGTGCCTCCTTGAAAAGTGTGCTAAGAGCTGTACAGAGACCACCTGCAATATCCTGACCTGGGGCTGTGGCTCAGTAGTAGAGCGCTTGCCTAGCACACGAGAGGCACTGGGTTCAATCCTCAGCACTATATAAAAATAAATAAATAAAATAAAGGTATTGTGCCCATCTACAACTAAAAAAAAAAAAAAAGAAAGAAAAGAAAGAAAAATTTAAAAAAATTAAAAAAATCAAAGTCCTATACTTTCTGCCTCAGTGAGGCGTGGAAAGGGGTGGGGGTGGCAGTCAGGAACGTAACTCCCATGAACTTCAGTTCTCTCATTTACGGAACAGGGAATTTATTGCCTAATTCCCAGGGTCATTGCAAGGTTGAATCTGATAAAGTGTGGAAATCCCTTGAAACTTCTCCTGGGCATTCATTGCTTCACTCACCCAACAAGCACTCATGGAGGACCTGTGTGTCCTTGACACCCCAGGCACTTAGTTGGTGCTCCCCAACCTTCACACTAATGCTGGGGATGAATCACCCCACCCCCCACRGCAGTTCTTGCAACAAGTTTATGAGAGGCAGCAATTGACATTGTCTATTTTTTGCAGCAGAGGAGTTCAAAACATAGGAGATTAAGAAGGAAAAATAATTCTATAAYTTCTTCTTCTGCATAATCTATCCTTCAAAAGCATCGCCTTTCCTAAATCCCCCTCCCACTGGCTGTCTTTCCAAGTAAAGGCTTCTGGGAGTCCCCAGAAGTGCTCTCCCAAGAGGTGTCCCTAGGGGGCGCGGGTGAGCTGAGCACTGGGAAGAAGTGCTGAGGATGACCACACACTGCTTCCAGAGGCACCCAGACCTTCCTGCAGTATGGGTCAACTACCCCACCCTGCCTGGGAGGGCCCAGAGGGGCCTTATCTGCTAGTTATGGTTTAAGGATGCTGAAATGCCACCTGCTTCCACGTATCTGCATTGTAATCTACTTCCCATCCCACTATTAAAGGCACTCCTTTGAGTCAAGGCCAAGGTCTCCAAAAGGTCCTGATTAAAGCAYGTACTTCAACGTGAACAGGTTGATAACATTAACTAGCTGGTCCTTTGGGCCTTAAGAGAGCAAAATTTTTAAAGGAGTAGAGGGCAGGAGGCACTGACCAGCCAGGAGCCACCAGGACCCTGTCCTGGGAGGAGGAGACTGTGTCCTGAACACAGACCCAGGGCAGGGCTTTCAAGCCTTCTTGGAAAGTCACCACCTCTCACTTTTCCTGATCTTCTTTTAGTATGTTCTGTTGAATGTATGCAGACCCCTGGGGTCAGTGCCTTTCTCCTCACAGAACCGCTGGGTCCTTTTCTCAGATTCAACATGAAGTATGAATTAGGTAATGTGGAGATTCTCCAGCCCAGGGTCCAACTTCATCTCCACAGCCACCACATCCTGCTTCTCCTATCTCCCATCTCCTACTCCTGATTTTACTACCTAAGGAAGAAAGTGGTACCGTTGACATCTGTGGAAACTTCCAGAAAGACCTGGCAGGGCTTCTTTTCTTTTCTTTTTTTTTGGTGGGGGGGAGTGCTGGGGATTGAACCCAGGGTCTTGTGCATGCAAGGCAAGCACCTGGCAGAGCTTCTTAAACAAAGCTCCACAGAAGACAGGGTCTGCTAAGCACTTGGAGGGGAACGTCCTGAGCACTTTCTCACCTTTGGTATTATAGTCCAGATTAGGCTGTGCCTTTTTTCTGACAAAATGTCTGCAAATGTCTTTGCTTGGTGCTCTGGAGCATGTGAACTCCAAAACAGGGGCCTGAGCTGTGGCCCAGGACTGGGGCAGGGACCCTACTGCAGCAGCCAGGATGGGCCTATGGAGCACAGCCCTCTGGCCTGGCCATTGTTGGGCCTTAGCTTGGACCTAGCTTGCCTTGTTAATTTTTTCTTTTTTGAAAACGAAGGTAAGCCATCTATCTCTATTTTTTTAAGTTGGTAGTTAATTAAAATACAAACAAAAATCAAGAGGCCCCTGTGCCGGCTCTCAAGCATGTGGGGAGCTGGGTCCCGGGTGACAGTGCGGGGCTTGCTTCATGTCTGGCACAGCTGGTCCTTTGGGGCACTGCCTGGTCCCTGGGGGGTGGCATTCTCAACTTGACCAAGGGGAAGCTCCCGGGAGGGCTAGGGAGCCCCGACAGAGAGTGTGTATTGGACAGACCAAATAATTCAGACCCTATCAACTCAGCAGTGCTTGTAAAAACACAACTTTTCTTCCTTCCTCTTGGACGTTACATAAATCTAATTAAAACACCTAAGTTTTGTGTAATATTTGAAGACCATTTCACCTCTTGCTGTGGTTATACCTTTGTTTTATACTGGTGAGTCTTCAGCCTTCTGCCCAGGAATGAAATGTCAGATTTCTAAGTCATGATTATTCTTTCTTTTCATTCAAATTTGTTAATTACTAWTTTTTTTTCTATTTTGCATCTCTAACTTATTCTCTGAAAGTTCACAAGGTAGAATGGCCTTATTTTTCAAGGAGAAAGTGAGTTATATGTTGCTTCCTTTCCTTTATAATTACCCATAAATATCTTCATTATATATGACATTTATTATATAATGTGTGTGTGTGTGTGTGTGTGTGTGTGTGTGTGTGTGTGTGTGTGTGATGCTGGGGATTGAACTCAGAGTTGTTTTACCACTGAGCTACATCCCCAGCCTTTTTATTTTTTTAGTTTGAGACAAGGTCTAGGTTGCCACGGCTGGCGTAAGAACTTACCATTTTCCTGCCTTAGTCTCCTAAATTGCTGGGATTAAGGGAATGTGCCACCAAGCCCAGCTCTATCACATAATTATATCAAAGAATTTGTGGYTATTTTTACCTTCTTTGTAAGCGATGATTTAAACTGTTAAAGTAAAAATTATATGTGCTTATTTGGGACTTACAACGCAGAGAAAGTGGAAACATTCCCTTTAAATGAACTGTGATCTTGTGCTGAAAACTCTGTGCAAATTGCCCCAGCCTCAGCCCTTCCTGGGTCCTCAATAAATACTATTTATTAAATGGACAAGCAAACCATGATGAGAAAGAAATGTTAAAATGACTGTTTCAGGACAGACAGATACACCTTTAAGAAGGCAGAGTATGAACAGTTCACTATTGAGGTGCCCTGAGCCTCTTAGATAGAACCCCGAGCCCCCACCCCACCCTCCAGGCACAGCTCTGGCCTCATTCACTGTGCCAGGCAGCTCCAGCCCCACCTGCTGTGTGTTTCCCACATTCATGTGCCTGAAGGCTTAATATTTTTCTTTAAACCAACTTCTATATTATTCACTTATGCCACTGTCACAAAAGAAAAGCCAAATCACTAGCAAGCAGAAACACAGCATCAATACATTTTAGCTCAATGCTGCTACTTGGAGCCTGAGGCTCCTTCTTCCTTTGCTCAAAGGGCAGATTGTGAAGGGTTAAGAAGAGCAAAGATTTATTTCCATCAAAATGAGATTTTCTTTTCCTTTATAGAACCGAAAGGATGAAGGAGACTTGCAAAGGGAGTAAGTAACATCCTCTGGGGTTTGGAGCACATCTGACCCCAGGCTTGAGGAATTCTGATCTAGTCCAGCTTCTTCATTTTACAGATAAGCAAAGGGGGTCAGGGCAGTACGGGGCCTTGGCCAGCTGCAGGAAGGGGCCGGACCCCACAGACCTGCATTCTTTCTCTTCCATCTCTCTAGCTCACTTACTAAAAGACGGATGGTCACAGGAAACAAGAGAACATGCAGAAGTCCTGAGGCAGGATCTGGGTGGGAGTGGGCAGGGTGGGCCTCAGAATCAGTAAGCCCAGCCGTGGCAAAGATGGAGAACGCAGGGGGGCTCGTGGGGAGGGGAAGTTACCTTGCCATCTTTTACCCTGTCCCACATCCCCTTTACAGATGAAGTCAGCAGGGCCAGAGAAGGGAAGTGCATTGCCTGTGGTTTCAGTGACAGAGGGAGAGCTACACCCTCGGCCTCCCAGCCTGCCTTGGTACATGGCAGCACTGTCCTGGCTCTAATTTCCCTACTGSGTGGGGAACCTAGAACAGTGTCCATGCCTCTCACTGTGCGGCCAGTGGGAGGAATCACAGCTCTAGCCCTGCACCAGCTGCCCTCAGAGTCATGGCTGGGCACTGCCTACYACAGGGAGCTGCACCCCGGGAGCAGTTCTGGAAACTCACTGCGAAGCGCTTCCCGCAGCCCGCGTTGCCGCAGCAGCCGCAGCAGTCATTGTTCTTGAGGCCCAGGAACACCAGCGCAGGGAAGATCATCTGTAGCAAAACAAGCACCTCAGAGGAATCCGGGGTTCCAGGGAGCTCCTGCCTACCTGAGGAGGGGCGCCCCATCTGCAATGTGGGACCTGCAGGCTCGGGGGTCGGGRGTGCCGAGAAGGGACAGTGTGGCTGTGGGGCAGGTGGTATGTTGCTGGGGTCCCAGGTGCCCTGAATGACCTCAGTTTCTTTAAGGTGGCACACCCACTCTGGCACCCCGAGTTTTGATTCAGAAGCGGGATTAGGACAAGCTTAAGACACTTACCCTCGACTAATCTAAAAAGTGAGCCACCCCAGCCCAATTTACTGGAAACAAAGGGTAAAGCCATCCCTGCAGATATCTGTGTCCCTTGGTGGTTTGAAGTCAATCCACTTGTTAGAAAGCACAGTTTGTGACTTAATTCTTTTCAACATCATTTAGTTAGAATAAAGAATTTACATGGCCCTCAGTTTGGCCCATGGGACTCATATGTCCCACAGAATTGCCAGCCCAATCCCGGGRACAAATCACTTAGTAAAGGGACATGTCCTCGTCAGCCCATAAGACGAGGGGTGTACATTAAAGCACCACCTTTTTGTCCTGCGGTGGGTGCTTGGGCTTCCGCTAGCTGCCACATAGCTTCCTGTTCCTAAGTACCCAACTGAAAAAGGTTAGGAGCAGGGGTCTCCTTAAGGGGGATTTTAAAGTTTCCCTACTTACCAAGACCCCGCTTCCCAGTATTCCTCCAAAATACCAGATCTCCGCGGAAAGATTGTTGTTGTCCTCTATCACTTTTCCTCCAGGGAAGAACAGCAGGACATTAGCCAGAAAGCCAAACAGAGCCAGGGGAATGAGGCTGCCCCCCAAGCACTTGGCACAGCTCCCAGTACACATGCTGGGGAAGCACACTGAGGCTCAGAGATAAAGGCTGRTCGCTGCCCCCTCCACCAGCCTCTTCAAGGCTTTTGGACAGGGTGTCCCAGTGATTGTCCCCAATCCAATCAGTGCTTTGGGACGGAGAACTCGATCTCTATCAACCACAGAGCTGCTTTGACGTCCCAACTCTAGCAGGCCCTTGATGACGATGGGCATTTATACATTCTCCCGGACCTGAAGTCCTTTTTTTTTTCCTGCACCCCCATAAATGAGATTACGTTCAGCTCAATCGTTCAATGGTTTTGCCATGGAGACCAATAGCCTCTGTTAATAATCCACCAGGCAGACAAGACACCCTGTGGCTGTGCTCAGAGAGAGGCTGGAGCAAGCAGCATTTAGAAGCACTGCACCTTCAGTCTGACCATGCCCCTGCCAAACAGGAAGATTCCACCAGCTCCCTGCAAATCACTCACATAATCGAGTTACATCCTGGTTAAACTCCTATCTCCCRGTACTTAGTGTCTACAGTGTGCATTTTGGTCTTTTCCACTGAGAGCCTGGAGAGCAGGGTTACCCCCAAAGAACTGCTGTTTTCCCCAGTATGGAAATCATATAATGGTCTAATTGGATATTGTTGAGCTCAGGCCTGGAGGATTTCTTAAAGGATAAAATCAGAAGAACTGTTTTATTGCCTGATGGCTGTCTTTMGTAATGACTCGAGAAGTTAAGTTCTGTGTTCCTCCATTCTCCATGTCATGGAATTAGCATAAAACGGTTTGACTACTTGCTCAGCTGCCTCTTCCATATAGGAATAAAAACCCAGGACCCCAAGTGAGCCTGGAGAGAGGGGGAGAGGCACCAGTGCTTCCACGGGGGCAGAGAGGACAGATCTGAAGGGCGGGCAGAGTGCATGGGGTGGGGGAGCGGCACGCCCACTGCACATTTTGCCAGCTTTCAGCAGTGTGATTCAGCCACCAGCTTGCTTTGTGTCACTTAGGAAGTCTCTGCCACGCCCAGACCCAGCTCTCCATCGTGCGATGACACTCCCTGGTACCAGTGTGGTGTAGGAGCTGAAGGACAGTGGGGTGGAGCAGGCCATCTTGCTGGCTCTTCCCTGAGAGTTGAGAGGTCAGAATTAAGAATAACAGGTCKGTTTTCTAGGGAGCCAAAGCTCTGCCAGATAAAAAGCAAGTGACTTCTCATCATGGCAAGACCTGTCCTGTCATGGGAATGACCACTGGCTTCCAGGGAGCAGTGGACTGTGCCCTGCCAAGGCCCCAGGACCACTGCAAGCTGTGGGAAGGGATTCCGAGAGGCGGGACAGGAGGGACCCTGAGCCCCCTCCTAGCCATTCTGTGAGGTGTGCTGCTTGCCCTTTGGAGATGCTTGGAGCTCTCAGGGGCAGAGCAGGAAAGAGAAAGGAAAGCAGGGAGAGATCCTGGAGCAGACCCACATGGCAGCTCAGTGCCAGGGCCCCTCAAGGTCCCCGAGGAAGTCATCAGCAGTCCTCTGCCCATGAGGCCACTCTGGCTCACAGAGGCTACTGTGAGTAAGGTCCTCCCAGCGTAAGAGAAGGAGAAAGACTTTAAATCAAGACTCTGGGTCACCAAAACCCAGGCTGTGGTCTCTCTAAYAGCATTTCCCCTTTGGAAACAATCAAGCAAATTCACTCTGTCAACAGGAACACTGTGGGGAATGAGTGATGCTTCCTTCGGAACCACAAAGGAATTGGGATTATTTTTTGTTTTGTTTTTTGGTACCAGGGATTGAACCCAGGGGCACTTAACTGCTGAGCCACATCCTCATCCCTTTTTTATATTTTATTTAGACACAGGGTTTCACTAATTTGCTTAGGGTCTCGCTAAGTGACTGAGGCGGGCTTTGAACTCGCAATCCTCCTACCTCAGCCTCCCCAGCCGCTGGGATTTCAGATGTGTGCCACGGCAYGATTTTACTTCTTATTACAAAATAATATGTGATTTTCTTTTGGGAGACAAATTCAGTATGCAGATGAGMAGGAGGAAGGAAAGGAAAGCCAGCAGTGTTCCCACTACCAGCAGGGAAGGACTGTTAGCACTTTGCTGGCAGCTATGTTCCAATACCCCAGCAGGTGCCCTGGCCTTGACCCAGGACCCCCCAGCATTCCACAGGGAGCCTGGGGAACAAGTGGACCAAAGAAGACAAAGGTTCTAAGAATATAAACGTTGGGCTAATCCTATGTACACCACCTTGGAGGTAGGCAGCTCCCCTTTGGGGACCAGGCGCTTTCTTCTTGCTCCATGGGCTGTGCCTTTTTCCTCTAGAAGTTAGSATCATGGCATTTGATAACTGTGACCAGCATAGCCTGGAGGTCCTAGATTTTTCAGACCAGCAACTGGAGTTGCCTGTCTATACTGTCTGGGTGAGTAGATGGAAGGAAGGGAGATSATGGACTACATCTTTCTGGAATACTTTGGCTGCTTGAAACTCCAAACACAATTAATGACCAACTCATTAATTGTTTGACAATTAATTGTGCCTTCAGACCTTCAGGCAGGAAGTGGAAGGGGGATGGTGGGAGGAAGGGAGGTTTGGTGAAATGCACCTTCATGAGGCRGTGGTCCCGACAGACTCTGGAAGCCTTATAGAAAATCGTGAGAGGTTCATCAGTCGTCTTTGTGATGCCCCTGCTTGATGGTCTCAGTCCCTGTGCCTGTGGGAGCTTAGGGTCCGAGCCCTCCTGGTCAGCCAGCCAGGAGATGGTTAGGGAGACCGAGCCTCACTCTGTAGCCTGTCCTTTGGGAAGAAGACCTTGGAAACCAGCACAGATGGCAGCTTTGGAAGAGACAGAAAGACAGTAGGACCCTCGGAGGAAGAAAGGGAGAAGACTGGGAGCACGGCGGGTGGCTGTCCTTGTGGCCTCAGCCTCCCGACACAGTGTTGTGCCACAGGAGTCCAGAGGTTCCTTGTGGTGCTGTAGCCGCTCAGTCCTGAACCAACCTGCACAGGAACGCGGAGGTCTCTGCGCCTCTGCTGCCTGCTGGGGGCATGCGCAGTACTGACACAAAGTTGATCAGCCTGCTCGGCTTCCTCACCTAGCAAGGGGTGAAGAGCCATCCGTCTGGCCCAATGAAAGGCAGTCTGTCAGTGTCTCCGATGTCCCCGCCAAGCATCCACAACATGCCAAATATTGTCCTAGAGAACTAAATGCAAGAATCTCCTCCTGCTTGGGCYAAGAGATAAGGGAATTCCTGCACATTGTTAAACGAATGCTTGACTTCTTAGCATAAAAACAAGGAATAACTTCCTCTCTTTGTCTTTTTTTTTAATTTTTTTTTTTTTTTTTTTTAGACATTGAAGGGTCTTTATTTTGTTCATTTATTTACTTGGGTGCTGAGAAGTGAACCCAGTACCTCACACATGCTAGGCAAGTGTTCTACCACTGAGCCACAACCCCTGCTCCCTCACTTTGTCTTTTATTCCCAGAATCTTGAAGAGCAGATAAGGGGGCCTCCCCACACTTGCATTCAAAGGTTACGAAGTTCAGGCCCCACCTTGGCCTGCCCAGATTGTTGGAACAGATTGTTATAAGTGATTTTCCAAGTATGAAAAAATGATAGAAAATATYAGTGAGTACTGAGTGTAACAAGAGCCATCTTAGGAACCTTTTGTAATGTACACATAGATATTAGGTATTAATGGACCATGTTTTCCTTTTCATAAGTTTCCAGTAAAAAAACCAAAAGATTAAAAAAAAGGTAGTGTGAGTTAGTGACATTTATCAAATGAGAGGTGGTGAGCTTTGAATATTCAAAACTGGTCTTCCATGCTTTTGTTTAAAGGCTTTAGGAGGTTCCCACAGCCCTGTGGTCCAAACTTAGCCTCCCTGACTTACCTTCCTGCCAAGTCAAGCCTCCCACCCTCCTGCTTCCTCCTCTGCCCCTTCACCTGCTTCCCCCTTACCCTCCCCAGGACTCAGCTCAGCTGTCGCTTTTCATAAGCAGCTTGTTTTACAAGAAAAGCATTTCACGGTCCAGATGTKTTTGGGAAATTCAGCAAAGCAAAGCCAAACAGACTCCTAAATGGCAGAACTTTCTAGGTTTTTAATTTGCAGATATACTTGTGATTATCCAAGGAGGGTTGGGAAATAGAGTGTCCAGTGTTTTCCCAACTTCCRTGCCTGTGGAGTTCTTCTGTTGTAGGGCAGTTTGTAGGACCAGGACTCCCAGCCCCTTGTTTGGGAATCTTGGAGCTAGCTCATTTCACAAGTGCTTGTGTTGGAGTCTGTGCTGGTAGAGAGAAGGTGAGTGGTCATGGGAGGTGATGGAACTATATCCAGTGTGAAGGTCGATGAGGGGTAAGGAGTGATTTGGACAGAATGAGATGAGCAGCACATCCCTTCCTAGGATGGGGAGCTGGGAGCAGGGTTGGGAACCAACTTGGCCTTCACTGACCTAAAGRATGGGAATATCTGGCTTGGGAGAGGGCAGGAGCTATTCTTTCAGTGGAACAAGRAACTCCAGCTGGCATGTCTGGTTCCTCCCTGCACAGGCCTTTCCAACATAAAAATTYCATAATGAGCCACTGTCCTGGGATAGGCCAAAGTACAAAAGGATGAACTGGCCTGCAGAGGTGACGGCCATGCAGAGACTCGTCGGCCCACCAACTTCTCTCTGTCAGAATCCAGAGCTGACATTCAGGGATAACAAGAGCCAACATCGACATGACACTTGTATGTTGGGCACTAGTCAGATGGCCTTGCTCCGTGCTATGAAATCGTCAATCCTCAGAACAAATGAGGAGGGCAGGTACTATAATTATTGCTCCTATTTTAGAGATAACGAAACCAAAACAACTGCTAAGTGCTATTGGTWAATGCATAGAACTTTCTAACCAATTTTCTATCACAACTTATGGTTCTGTGGGTCAGGAACATGGCTGAGATCCCCAGGGTGGTTCTTCTGCCCCAGATGACACTGACTGGGGTTATTTGCTCTGGTTCAGCCAGTGGGACCCTTGTTTGTGAGCCCAGATGGTTTCATTCACATGTCAGATATTAATGGGAACAGCCATAGGACTGGGCTCAGCTGGACCCTCTTCTCTCTCTTTAGTCTCAAGGGTCTTCATGTGGTGCTTTCAGCAGTGTGGTCAGATTTTACATGGTGGCTCAAGGCTTTAAGAGGCTAAGAAATRGAAGCTGCCATTTTCCAGGGC